ACCGTGGAGCAGCCGCAGGGGAAGGCCATGCGATCCACCTGGCAGGGAGACGGAGACGTGGCAGCTCCAGAATCCCGGAGAATCCCTCCCCAGAGCCTAAAATCCACCCTGGTGCTGCCTGACGCTGGGAATTTGACACTGGGGGAAGTTTTTCCCCCTGGGAGGTGTCCCCAAAACAAGGCTGGAGCTGCACCCACCAGGATCAGCCAGCACCCGAGGAGAGTATGGGCACACTGGCACCAGGACGAGCCCCGGCAACCCGGTTTCGCCGCCGGCATCTCCTTCCCTGACTCACCTGGCATTTAATCCCCGCCTGGCTGCAGGCACAGGCCTCCGGGTCGCAGTAGAGGCGGCAGTCGCAGCCGCACTCCTCCCGGGACAGGCGGATGGCCCGCAGCTCCTGCTTCTCCTCGGCGTCGATGCGGTGAACGCCGGAGGCTCGCAGCAAAGCTCGGCGGCGTTTGGTGGGCAGCGGCTGCAGAAAGAAATAGTCGTCCACCTCCACGTTCTCCACGTCGATGTCGTCGTCCGAAACGTCCTCCAGCGTCAGGCCGTCCGCCTCCTCCGACTCCACCGTGCCGTTCTTGGTGAGCTGCGGGGAGGTGGGGCAGAGTCAGTGCCCAGCCGGGGGATGCCAAACCCCAGCGATGAGGCAGGAGGAAGGACATACATCCCTCCATCTGGCTCCTGGTCCCCCACCGACCACCCGCCACCCGGCTCAGAGCCTTCCCTGTGGCCCCCCAGCACCGAGCAGGGTCCGGCACGGTGAGCTGAGCCCTGCACAGAGCCGTCCCTCTGCAATCGCCCCCCCTCCGCCCCGAGTCACACCGTGGGAGGACTCGTGGCAGTTTATAGGAGAAGGAAGAGGAGGGGAAATTTAAATAATAAAAGAATTCAGAGCAGAGAATTCCCTTCCTGTCTTTCCTCCGCTAAGGCGCCCTGCAAATAGTGAGATGAAAGGAGGTCACCGCTACTCAAAATATCAGGGGCCTGGGAGAGCGGCAGCAGCAGCGGAGCTGCAGAGCATCTTCCCCGGGGTAAAATGAGGTTTGAAAGCAACGGCGGGGCCAGAGCTGGATCCTGCAACGTGCCTTCACCTCCCTGCTCCGGTCCTTCAACCTCCCTTGCCCCCCACGCACTCAGATTCCCCCAAATCTTGGCACTGAGGACAAATGGGGGTCCCCAGCCCTCTGAAAGCCAGCACCTCCAGAGGCACGGAAGGGTCCATGGCCTCCTGAGGAGCTGGTGGAAAAGACTATGTTTAAAAAATACATTAGAAAATAAAGAGGTGGCCAGCTAGATTCGCGTCCCTTTGCCCAAAGCAGGCTGTCACGCGGCAGCGGGAGCGGATCGCAGTCTGCGCAGAGCATCCTGCCGAGCGGAGCCCACCCTCCAGGCAATGCCCGAGGGCGCAGACCCAGCAGCGGCAAACTGGGGACTGGTTGGGAAACAGGCAGAGCCACCTGAGATCCTCATCATTCCCATCTCATTCCCTCGACACAGCCCCATTGCCTCCTCCCAGACTGGAATTTCTACCGGCACAGACCTGGCGAGGTTTGGCCGACAGCTCTCAACCCGGCACAGGTTGATGCTGATGCCAGCCCTGCATGCGGGTGCAGCATCAACACAAAAAAGAGGTAAAAGAAATAAAAAGGAAGAGTTTAGTGGCAATAAATCCTTCCCCAGTCAGTGTAAAATAGCAGCCTGGACCTCTCTCCTCCGACCTGGCTCCACCAAAGCTCAGGGAGGTGTTTCCCAGCCGGGATTTCAGCAGCGGCACCCCGCTTCCCCGACAATACCTTCATTTTCTTGGCGTGGAGTTTCTCTTCCTTGAGGTGCTCCCGTAGGATCTCCCGGTGATTCACCTCCTGCTCCTGGGCGAACTCGCAGAGCGTGTAGCGGCGGACGGAGTTGTGGCGTTGGGCCATGCCCAGGGAGCTGCCGCCCTGGCTGGGGACGCTGGTGAAACCCTGGCGGCGGGCGAAGTAGTAGACAGTCACTTGGTCGAAGCGGACATTCTTCCTGCGAAGCTGCTTCTGCCGCTTCAGGATGGAGGTGGCTGCAGGGGGGGAAAAGCCAGAGAGGGGCTGTTAGGAGCAAAAAAACCCCTTCGAGATTCCCATGGAGATCTGCCCCACTGGAAAGCGGCTTTTCTGCAAGTCCCTGAGCCCTCGGGCTCCCAGGAGCAGGTCGAGCTCATGCTGGTGGCCCTGAGCTGGCTTTGGGTGACAGCTGTCTCCACATGGGCTGCGCTCTTACCTCCGATGCCACCGAGACCAACCCCGTTGATCCCCATACCCCTACACCATCATCACCCCGTTCAGCCACCAAAATATTTCAGCAGAGGCAAATGCCGGGAGGGGGATAGAAAAGGTCCAGGATGGACCTCGGACAACCAATTTGGGTCCTAATATTTGGAATTCCCTGGGGTCTGGCATGACCCGTACCCACGGGACAGACGAACCTATCTCTGCTCGTCACCCCAAACGGGCTGTAAGGGGTGAAGAGCGGAGTCACCCCCCGTGTCCAAGGGAAGGACAGAGCCAGCCCCACGTCCAGGGGAAGGACAGAGCCAGCCCCTGCGTCTAGGGACAGGACAGAGCCAGCCCCACGTCCAGGGGAAGGACAGAGCCACCCCCACGTCCAGGGCCAGGACAGAGCCAGCCCCACGTCCAGGGAAGGACAGAGCCAGCCCCTGCATCTAGGGACAGGAGAGAGCCACACCC